TTCATACAATTTCAGAGTATATGCTTTTTTTCAAATATTTTTATAATGACTACTTTTTAGAATAATTATTAGTTTTGAGTTATATTTTTATGATATAATGTGTTGATATTAAATAGTGTGATTTATTATTTGTATCACTAATAAAATAAACTGAAGAGCTTTTTTTTTTAAAATCATTGATACAAGTTTCCATCATATTTTTGATAGATTATTCATCAAAAAAGTTTGATATGGCAGCGACAAAAATTACAACATAAAAATCCATTGAAAATTCTGAAGGATTTCGCCATCGAAATTTTGGTTGATTTTTTTTTTTTTTACCGATGGATATTGGTTGTCGATGATTTGAATATTTTTTCATCAGAATTATACTGGAAATTTGTCAAAAAAATTATATATATATATATATATATTAAAAATATCAAATGGTCAAATCTTATCCAAGACGCATTGACATCCACATACATATCTGAACAATATTTTGCTACTGCACTTTTTTATTTTTTTATTTATTTTTTTAAATTTAAGGCTTGCTTGACAGGAAAACGGGCCTTAACAATTTGATTTAATTGTTGTGTTAATACTAAGCTAAAAATAGTTAAACATTTGATATGTGAGACACTATAGTTAGTGACACGTTTTTGAACCTTTATTTAAATGCTTCTATATGAATAGTGTTTTTCACTATTTCTATGATTGTAGAATTATCAATTTATTTCATATTTTATATATTATTAAGAATTTAGATATGTTATGTATAGCCTATTGAGCTATGGTTTGCTCATTCCTACTCTTTCTACATGTGTTAATTTTATGCTGGTGAAAGGAAAATGGGTAGGTTGAGTACATAAATGTAGAAAATTTCAAGTGCTAGTTATGCTTGTATGTTGATAGATTCTTTCTAACAATTCATGATGTTTCCATGATGATTATATGATTATTATGTACCATGACAGCTATGTATATAAATATTTTGACAATATAGCTTTTTATGAAAATGAAAATTTGATGAGTTGTTTTTTTTTTTTTTTTTTTTTTTTTTTTTTTTGCATTTTTAATTTGATGTTTAGTGGCTCCGCGTCTCTGTTATAGAGTGAAATGATAAATTCCTTCCAAATAGATCTTGGGAACTGTCTGGTCATGATCTAACATGATGTGACCCATTTAGTGTATGGATTATGTTGGGTTGGGTTATGACACCTGTGAGTACAAGCCTTGATTCAATTAAAAAAAATAGGGTGGTTAAGAGCCAACATAGGATTATAAAGGAATTCCCTGTCTTTATTATCAAAGGCCTTTTTAAAGTCAATCTAAGAATAGAAATATTGAGGTGCATATCTTATATTAAACCCCTTGCAATATCATTAACAAGGATGGAGTTATCAACTATACCTCTTCTAATTATATAAGTAGCTTAAATTTGATGTATCTAAAAAGGTAGAAAATTCCTTAAATAATTACTGCATAAGGAGATGAGTCTAAAGTCTAGCATAGAAAAAGCTTGGAGTTTTTTAGGGATTAAGGTCATGGTTGAATGTTTGATTGTGGTGGGCATTTTGACAGTGTGGAGGAAGTATTTAATAACTTCAATAAAGGAAGAAGTAATGATATGCTAAGCGCCTTTGAAAATTTTTGTAAAAAAAATCATATGTGCCAAGATTTTTATCATTGCCAATGTAAAAAAGAGTTGCTTTAATTTCTTCATAAGAGAACTCCATTAGCTCATAAGCGACACAAGAGAGCTTAGAACCGATATGGATAGAGAAATTAGTGGAATGGGGGCTCTTGTCCTTGTTGAAGAGATTATAGAAGTAGTTTATTGCTTCATGAGAAATACCACTCAAAGAATAAATACAACCATTCTCCCATGTATTTCCCTCATCAAGTTTGTGTTAGTTCTTCTTTAAATCTTTTTATAGAGGAACTTAAGATCATCTTCCTCACTATATAGCCACAAATTTTTAGCTATTTGTTTGAACCAACTATTCTCACATTTAGAGCCTCAATAAGCTCTTTTTGATTGGTAAGGATATTTTCCAAAAGGCAGTTGTCTAAAGGACTCTCCTCAAGGTTGTTAAAAATTATATTTTGATTGTTTTTAAGAGCTTTAAATTTTTTTATTCATATTTGAGGTGGAGTAGCATTGGTCATTTTAAATAAAATTCTTCCACTTTTCAGAACTATTATAAAGGTTAATATAGGGTCACCTTGAGCATGCATATTCTTGGCTTATTGATCAATATTAAAGAAGTTTGAACTATGAGACCAGTAATTCATGTACATAAATATGCCATAAAGAGATTGATAAATCTGTGCGAAGATGAATAGGTGAGTGATCCCAGTATTTAGGGATTAAAATCTTGTAATAAGAGAGAGGAAAGGAACTCAACCAAGCATTATTATAGAAGGCCTTGTCTAAGAGACATCTAATGGGGCTATGAATTTGATTATTATACCAACAATAGGATAAATCACAGTGGTGTAGTTCAATCAATCTTAAATTGAAAACATAATAATTGAAATCCTTAAACTCTGAAGGGTGAAGAGAGTTCCAACAATATTTTCATGCTCTTTCCTAGCATAATTGAAATCTTAAAGAACCCTCCAAGGACCAGTAATATTGGTAGCTAAGGTATTCAAGTTGTCCCAAAGAATTTTCCTTTCAGAAGCCCCATTTGCAATATAAATGAATGTAACAATAACATTAATAAAGAGAAAGTTAACAAGAATTCCATGGACCATTTGAGTATGAGCCAATAAAGAAGTAAATGAAATAAAAGAAGAGTTCATTTTAATCCATAATCTACCATTCAGGTGAGTGTGAAAATTATTGAAATTACCATCTTGATAAAATAAATTGAATTTCCTAAGACTAAAATCACCCATTTAGAATCCTAGTTAAGCTTTATTTCAATCATACTAATGATAGGCTAATTTTGGGAGATGATTAGTGTTTTGGGTTGCAAGAGAGCAACAATTTTGCAATTTAGTATAACCTAACAAAGGAATGTGGAAAGATTTTTTTATGAAGAAGTAGACTCCAAGAACAAGGTGGAGGTGGTCAGAGGTGGCATTGCCAAAACCATAGTAAGGTCAGATGAGGAGTAAATAGATTCTAAGGAGGGGTTATGTAGATCTAGGCTAGAGTATTGAGCTTAATAAGATGATTGGTACTTAAAAGTCAGTGGGGGGAATGTTGATTTTGGGATAAGGTGGGAGGAGGGGGTCTTTTATTTAGACTTCTACCATGAGAATAGAGGGGACGGCATGAATGGTAGTTGAAAGTCTGTTTGTAGATTTAGGGTATGAGTTAGAGTCATGAGAAAACATGTCATGTCATATACATGGCAATGATTTCCATTCATAAATAATTGGAAAGCAAATGTCCATACACCTAATATTAATTTGAAAATCATTATGAAGGATATATTTGGTATTTATTTGGACACCCTTCCAAAGAAAAGTTCGGAAAAATTTGCAATAAGAGAATCATTTGTTAAAACCACACCAATTAACAATTTTATATATACCATTTGTTAGAAACAAGATTGAGAATGTGATTTTTTTATGACATCAAAATATTATTATTCTGATGATTTTATTGTTTCTCCTAGCATGAATTAGATATTTCTTATTGTTTTTGTGTGTACTAACATTTTAGAGAATTCATTTACTACTTCAGATTGCTGAAGACTTCAAGACAATGGTAGAATAGGATGTCATGTAATAAAGTCTATATAATTCTATTTTTTTATTCTTGAGTCTGAGCAATTATAATTGGGTAATCGTACACACACATATGGGGAGAGTAGTAATTTTTTTAAGTCTGACGATACTATACGATATTTAATCGTATTATATGATTTGACAATTTTTTCCTCCAGAATGCAGTTAATCAAATCAAGGATTAAAAATTTGAACTGCTCGTACTATACGATGTTAGGTCATATAGACGACAGACAGAGTATGAAATTCCTTTGTCCTAGATCGTACCATTCAAACTAGTTTATTTTGAATTGTTCGCATTGTATAATGTCAAATCATATAGACAATTAATAGAGTATGAAATTCCTTTTGTCCTAGATCATACCATACAAACTTGTTCAATTTGAATCGTTGGCAGGTCATAAAGATGACTGACATAGTACGAAATTTTTGAAATAATCAATTTACCCCTCTCTTGGTTAGTCTTAATACAATTTTATTAGGTTTAACAACCTACATGTATTTTCAAGTAGTATCAGAGATACGATCATGGCTAATTTTGGAAATTGAAATACTCCTGAAAGATATTCAATCCTTAGACCACATTTATTTGATAACATTCCTTTTAATTTTTGGAAAACACATATATTTACTTTTCTATATTCACTTGACTATCGCATGTTGATATTAGTGTTATACCAGACCTACTAGACTTGTTGATGATATTAAAATTGAAACACCATTCACTGATTGGATATTAGAAGAAAAAGAATTAGCACAATTAAATGTTAAATGCTTAAATAGTTTTTTCTGTGCTTTGAAATATGAGAATTACATGCGTGTTTCTACTTGTAAAACTGAAAAATAAAAAAATTTGAAGTTTCAGCTATTTCTAGCCATGGGTTTTATAGCCTCCATATACATTTTAAATGAGTATATTACATAAATAATTAATATTACAATATTTTTTAAATACATAACTCTTTTTTATCAAGTTTCTATTATAATATTTAGTATAAATTGAAATTATTATCTAAAGATAACAATACAAGTTTTTAAAATAAGATTATAAACATAAATAATTACAAAATTATTAGCATCAATATTAACAGTTTAATATTCCTGAAACGAAATATTATTATGTTTTATAATTTAACCATTTAAATCATTAATAAAAATACAAAAATGTTATTCTTACTAATAAATTTTAAAAATACTATATCAAACATAAAAATCTATATCAAGCAAATTTTTACAATCATTAATTAGTGAAGAAAATTTTCTAGCTCTATCTCTTAGCAACTAATACTTCTAATTTCAGTACAATCATTCATTCAGAACCCAAACAGAGTGTATATACAAACACTGATAGACACCACTTAAAGGCATAAGGCACAAACTAATAAGCACACACAGATACAGAAATTTACTATAACATAAACAAAGATCTCCAGAAGTTAATAATTGGTAAATACCAGTTGACAGCCAATGGTCTTTTCCCCTTTACACCTTAAGCTTATTTCTTCACTACAGCTAATTCAGTCTGGTCTGGGAATACATTTCAGCAGCTCAAAGTAGGAGCCAGATGTTGCTGAGCTTCGATTCGAACGGGTTGCTTGAAGCTCTGCGGCTTCTGCAGTTCATCCTTTTCCTCTGCGCTTTTGATTTCGACATCCTCGGCGACATTCGAAGACCGGTTATCTTCTCCAGTATTAGTTTGAAGCTCATCAAACAAGTTGGTCACAGGCTGATGAGTATCTGAAACTGGTTTTGCAATGTTTCCTTCATAATCAATCTTATCAGAGACTATCCCATTATCTTGCACAGTTATTGCCTTCTCATCTGGGTTCTTTTCCTTATTTTTATACTCTGCAGGAGCAGCTTCAGACATTTTTGTATGATTAGCTTCCTCGAGTGCTCCATCTTTGTTCTCTGGAGTTTCTTCTGGAGCAGCTTCAATATTTGGATTATTCTTAGTAGGTCCTGATGATGATCTCCTGGATCGTTTTTTCTTTGGTTGAGGTTCTGGTGGAGAAACTGCCTTTGCCTTCTCACTGATTCTTGCGGATCTCCTGGGAGTTTCAACACTTGTGCTCCAATCAAATTCATGTAATGCAGGCGCACCAGAATGGGATTTAAGGTATTGCTCCAGTTGTTTTCGATTGATTATTTCCTCTCCAGTGGGCGCAATGAAAACAATTTCATTTTCTTTGGATCTAACACTTTTCTTAGCAGTAAACTGCAGGTGGAAAAGTAAAAGCATGGATAAAGCAGCTTGGATTTACAGAACATATAAGTATGACAAACAAACAAAAACACAGCAATTTCCTTAGTTGTGTCATAATATTATAGACAGGAAACAACTATACTTAATTAGTACAATATTCTTTAATTTGGGTTTGGCATATTTAAAAAGCAAGTCTCTATTTTAACCACCCAACTTCAACTCAAGTAATATCCTCTTTCTTCTATATAATGGATCCAAGATATTTAAGCATATCACACCTAAGTATCACTTTATATTCTAATAAAATGAATTAAAAATGATTAAAATTGCAAATAATTGTTCTACTAATCAGAAATCTTTTATCTTTCAAACATATTCTCCATTATTTCGGTTTTTTACAAAATTTAAAAGAGGTCTCACCAATTAGAACAAGACATTTCACAAAAAAACTACATCTGATTCTCTTCTTTTGAATATCTTTGGTATGAATATACACAATCAATATAAAAAAATATATGAATCAAATGTTGTTCGTTAATGTAATCCAATTATGTTTGCAAATATTTTGTCAATTCAACTACTAATTTAGACAACGCTCTAAAATACACCTTGATAACATCAAAATATCTTTGAAACAAAATGTATTCCTTAATACACACATGATTAATTCTAATGGAAATAAAAAATCAAATGAAGATCCTTCTTTCGAACACTATATATACATAATTGCATTCACTCAAAAATTGCCTCTATAATTGATCTTTTGGATCAGAAATTAAATTGATTATTTGATAACAGTTCAGTTTTTCCTAATTTTAATTCCATTAGTCTCTCCCTAACTTTAATGAGTAGCTTCTAAGTTTAAATTTAATGTAATTATCACAATCTTAAGCATCTGGTATAGTCTTAATTATTGGCACCAAAAATGCTTATTCTCCAATCTTTTGGTATCTAATAAAAAATTTGTCAATCAAACTAATCTAATGTCTCGCTCATAACTATTCAAATCTCAATACATATCTAATCAAAAGCTAAAATTTTATCTTTACACGTCATTTTCAAATCTAACTCATCGTCCATTACTTGAATCAATCCACCATAGAATATTGTATTAATCAGCTCATTATCCTCTTCCAAAAATATTAATTCTATAAATCTCATTCAACAATTTCTCAAAATAGCACTTTGGTCTCCCCTTTAACTAAGATATTTTTATCAACGTGTTTAAGGCATATAACTTGATCAAACTTATTAATCTCTTATGTTTTGTCCTGGCTATTTAATATCTCTTTCTTCTTCCATGATATATAACTTATTATGTAAATCAGTAAATGCTCTTTCTTTTGCTATGAAATTCACCTCTTTTCATGACCTCTAGTTACAAGTCTCCATGATATTTTTCTCCATTCCTCAAAAGCAACACCCTTTTCCTTACAATAACTTTTTGTAACACTCTCTCCACCATTTTTCCTTAATTATGTCTGAACTATTCCTAAATTCTAATAAAAATAAATGAAAGAATATATAAATTACATCCTAAAGATGAAAGAGACAAATGAAGTCAAATACCACAACACTTCACATCTAATTGGCAAAATTCTTATCCAACTCCACGAGATGGAAATTTCTCATCAGCTATTTTTGCCACTCCCGTGCTCAAATAAAAAAGATTTTGGGTTTACCTTAGGTTGAAAGCAATTATTAGCCCGAAAAAAATATAGCTAAATTTTAGAAGTCCCTAAATATATAGGAAAAATAAAGGCTAAGATGGCGGCGAAACTGATTTATTACAATCCAAAGAACAGAATGAAATCTCAAGATATAGTTGGCATTGGATCCTGCCAGATGAATGACATTCATCCACATTAATAGACAGAGTAAGAAAAGCTTCCCATCATGAAAAATTGAAAATGACTAAACTTCTTAGGAATCTAATTTTCAACGGAGATCTTACCAGGCTATTCAGGATTGAAATCTAGCAGTGTAGTGTAGCAGGATGACTAGGTTTTTTTCTGCATAAAAACAAATAACTCATCGAAAAACAATGGGTGCGAAGAAAGATAGAATCCTGGTGGATCTTCACGAGATCTTGACAAAGCAAAAGCCAAGAGATAGGATGAAGGCAAAAGAACTAAGAGCGTTGGCTCTCATACCATGGTAGAAAAAATAAAACTCTACATCTTTATTTGAATATCTAATGGCAATACAATATAAAGCTTAAAAAAAACAATAATAAGGAAAGTACAACAAAGAAAAATATACTCCATAATCACAATATATTAAAAGATTAAATACTATGAATTCTAAATAAATATTGAACATATGTGATCTTTATTAATATGGTAACCTAATAATTCTAATAATTCAAATATCATGATCCTTTAATGAGTAGTTAACACTCAGAGCTCAATTTGAATCTCTAACGGTTCAAAAGGACACTGCATTATCTGTATTACTCCATCTACACAAAATTCTAGTGTCCTGTTTAGTTATTTACTTATATGATAATATATTCTTAAAGTGTAAAATGAAAGAAGAGAAACATAACTTATGGTGACATGCAGAAACCGGCACTGATGCATATGATTGCCTTCTCTTTCAGCTTTAGTCCTGAAATCTGAGCATTCTCAATCAAAATTCCATAGTGGATAAGGCAAAGAATATCTTTCTGATAAATTTTTTTTCTTGAATATGGACAAGCTGAATCAGAAAATTGAATTCCCAACAGGAAACACCAGCATTAATCTAACATTTGAAAAGGCAAAACAATCTCCATTTGATAATACTTTTTCTTGGATAAGGACAAGCTGAATCAGAAAACTGAACTCCCAAAAGGAAATAGCAGCACCTAGACTAATAGGTTCATAATAAACATTTTAAGGGTTCATTTGCGATAGCTTTCTTAATGCTTTATAAAACAGTATTTTAGTTTAAAAAAATTATTAGAATTTTTTTTACTAAAAAGCTATTTTAGAAAGCAATGATAAAGCTGTCCCAAATGAAACCTAAATTAGGAAACAAATAAGCTTCCCTGCAAGCAAAGACGCCCCAATGCCAAATACAAAGACAATACAAAATTAGTACGTTAATTAGGACTAGGAACACGTTCTTTTTGACTTTGATTGGTATTCTATGAGATCAATCATCATTATTAAAAACTTAGAATAGTTCATATTTCACAATTCTAAACCTCATATCAGATATTGAAGTTCCAACAATACATGAGTTCTCTTTATAAAAGCTTTCTGCCATGAATATGTTGGCTTTAAGATCTTCCAAGTTACGACATCATTCTTCATAAAAACTTATCAAGAAATATATCATTAAAAAACATCTTAAGATAACTGACGTGCACCAATCAATGTTTATCTAAGATTTTCCATGTTAGAAAAAAAAACATGAAGCAAAAAGAGAACTGACAATTCCTGATAACCATTTATGTTCTTAGGAAATCTCCATCTCGTCTCTTCTAACACCAGACCTTTTATCCACTTCCATAAAAGTTTCCAACATACCCAAGATAAAATTTTGATAAGCTTTTGTCATGAGAAAAGAAAAAATAATGTTTTTCTCACAAACAGAGCGAAAAAGTGACCCTAAACCGGGAAATAAGTTTGATAAGCTTTTATCCTGGAGGCTCTGAAAACCTTCATTCAGCCTAATTGGCATTGAATTAATTAAGTAAATAAAAATGAGATTTAACCATCTCATATCAAAGCAATTGGGATTCCTACAAGCTTAAATTAAGCAACGGGAACTATGGCATCAAAATGGTACCTTAATTCATGTTAAATGGGTTAAAAATACTAAGAGATCATTTTCTTCAAAGAATGTTCTAACCTCCACATAAAGGGATGAGATAAAGAAAAATATTTTCCATTTAAAAAGGTTTGGGATTACAAAACTAACTTCACAAATCACACATGCAAGGAGAAATTTAAACAACAAGAAGAGATAGAATTAGGTTGAAAATGATATCATAGGAAAATCTAAGATCTTTGCATACCACTTGAAAAATGTAGAAAATCTTATCGGTTCCGCAGGATGCTAATATAACCATACTATGGTTTCAAGTTAATTCCGGATCAGCTTTTACAAAATTGTTTAGGTGAAGTTGCATTCAACTTAACTATAATTGATAAAACTATTGAAAACAATGTTCTAGCATCTCATTATTACAGAGATTATTTGGGTGAAATCTTTAAAAAATGAAAGAAACCAGTTCTATGCAAACCACGGGCTATCCATGGTCAAACAAAGAAGCACGAACTATACTGGTCACATGTGCCAAATATATTTTTCCCTCCACATACTTCTTCAAAAACACCTTTTTGTTTATAGAGCTATGAAAATTTCATACTGTTCTGAAGCTGACAAAATTTGCTCTCTAACAGTCTAACATCTATGTTTATATAAAACTCTGCTGCTAGCCTACAAAGAGATAGATTGAACTTAAAGTAATCTCATCTTCTTCGCTAGATAGCCAAAAAAAATAAAATGAAAAAACTGCAGTAAGACCAGTATAAAAACTAGCCCATTCTTACACTTCTATCAAGGAAGAATACAATTCCATTTAAAACACTCAACTATAGAACTTAAATCCATAGTTGACTAATCATCCTAAATTACACATGTTAGACTAATCAATCCTACAGAGGAATATTCAATTTCATAAAGAAGGTATAAGGGGAACAGCACATGTTAGACTAATCATCCATAAATTACAAATCCACTTCGTATATTCAGACCATCACACAGTCTAATGAAGATATAACTTAAGAAGCAAAGCAGAAATCCTCTATCTAATTAAAAAAATTTAAAAGGCTAAAACTTGCCATCCCTTGAGTTAAATAGGAATTTCCTGTCGATAAGAACAACAAAAACCGTTGACTTAGAGGAAGAAACAGGAATCATCCCTCTTCCGATAAATCCACGATTCATAAACAGAAGTACCAAAATTTTCTGGTATAACAACTCGAGCAACATGAACTAGCTGAAGAAAAAAAAAACACTCCTGCTGAAGAATTCTAGACAACCTTGAGGATAATCAACTTATTAAAGTAACCTAAGCTATCAATCAAGTAATTCCAATATCAAAACCGTTTGCTGCATATAATAAAAACCTTAATTGGAAAATACACTCCACTGAATCAACAAAATCGAAATAAAATTAAACCAAACAAGCTACCTTAGAACCAAAAGTCAGACCGACGAGAGCAAGTTCCTAATCCAAAAAAAAGGTGCTCCAAAAAATCTCTGCAACGAGAACAAAAAGCAAACAGAAGAAAAAACAAAATACAGAAAACGAAGAAAGGAACCGACCGTCTTCTTCCAACCCACAGGCGCCGGGAGTTCAACGGCAACAACTTCCTGCTCCCCGCATCCTTCTCCGCCGTCGCCTGAGGCCATCTTCCGATCCCGTAGAAACTCAGCTCCCGAAATGAGGAAGAGAGACTGAGAACAGGATGATAAAGACCGAGAACAACCGACGAGCTCCCGCAAAATGAGACCACACAAGCCTGAAGTAAGAATTTTCGCCGCTGAGTTCAGAAGCCGTCCGATCGACGAAGTGAATATGACGGCTAGCAATGATTGATCGCTGACATCGTTTTCCAAGTCAGTTCCTTCAATCCAACGGCTGTTCATACGAAGTAAATACAATCGTTCGAGTGAAAGATGGCCAAAGTTTCTATCAGGCCCTTTGTTATCCTGCTGCTACTTGAGACGGTTCAGGAATTTATTATTTAGTGTTCGTTAGATCTGCTTTGACAAGTGTGCTTCAATCATGAATCGGACACGTTATTACTTGAAAAAATAAAAAGAAAATACACATCGAAATTTTGATTGAGAGCTTAGATTTTCAATTAAGAGTTTTTGGATTTTAGTCTTTTTATTTGTCTTATATGTATGAGTTTATCTTAAATAATTTAAATATAAAATTAAATAAATAAATTCTTTTTAAAAATATCATTTTTTTAATTTTTTATTTATTTTAAATGAAATTAATATATAAATTATTGGAACTACATTTATCTCAAAATTAATTAAAAAAGAGATTTTTACATACTTAACACCTAATCTTCTATATTTATTAATATACCACCTAAAATCACTTTTTTAATCAATTGTAACAATCCGTTAAAACTTTCCATCAAAAATCACTATCAGAGACTGTCTTCCAGTCAATGACATTCTTTCACAGTGAATACAAATATCTCTTCGCTTTACTAGGAAGAATTATTACGTCCTCCGACGGATGCAGAGGAAGATTCGGTCGTAGGCAAAATCGCGGCCATATACCGTGTGTACCGAGTTTTTCAAAAACTCGGTACACCACGGTATAGGCGCGATTTGCCTTACGACCGAATCTCTTCCTCTGCGTCCTTACACCGAACCAAATAAAACCTCCTTTACTAGAGTGGTAAAATAGAAGAAAAAAAAATTTATGTGGTATATTAGTAAATATAAAAATTTAGATGTTGAATATATATTATCAATAATTTTAGATGTTATACATGTAAAATCTCTTTAATTTAAAATAAAATAAAATTATCATAAATATATAATTTTATAGATAATTTTTTGGGATGAGTTAATATATTATAATCTATTTAAAATTTTTCAGTAATAATTTTATTATATCGCGCACGTATCGTACGGTTAGGATGCGCTCGGAGGAGAGTTCGGTGCGGGCACGTGGATGTAAATTGATCGGTATCAGAATGGGAAATCGTGGAGTGGTGGAAGCGACACTGATGCGATAATTAAAAAGGGTAAAACGAGAAGCGTACGGGAAGGCGCATAAAAACAAAGCTTTATATATTAATTGAGTGCGACGTCATCTGCGTTCGCGTTCTGAACTGGCACGGCATCGTTAACATTAATAGCAGCCGCTTGCCGCAGAGAGCTCAGTGGGCCCACCCTTCGCTTTCAGAGACCTTATCCAAATTCACTGTGGATTCCTCTAAAAATGAACGCAAAAGTCTATGCGGGTTTTTACCTATTGGAGCTCATAATTAGATCAGATTATTATCCGTAGGTTAGATCCTCATTAATGAAAACAAAAAAAAATTCTCAAAATAATATCTAAATTCTTTGTATATGATTTCATTATATTTTATTTGAAATAATTTTTTATATTTTTAAAAATAATTTTTAGTATATAAAAATTTATACTAAACCGATGTTTTAAAAAGTAATAAGAAAATTGTTCTAAATAAAATTTTAGGCTTCCTTTGGAACGGTATTTTTACTCTTTTTTTAAGCAACTTTTTAGTACAAAAATTTTAAATAAAAATTTTTGTACTAAAAAGCTTCTTTAGAAAACATTAAGAATGTCGTTCAAACAAAGAAGACTTTCAGCCTGGACATTAAAGCGACTTTTTAGTAAAAAATTAAGATTTTTTTTTTACAAAATTCGCTTTAAAAAACAGGTCGAAAGTCATCACAAACGAAGCCTTAATGGCTTAATCTCAAAATATTATATTGCCTTAATTTAGCTCCTCCAAAGTCATTTTCTCATATTATAATTGTAATAAAAAATTGTTCTCAATTTAGTCTAATGACTTCATAAATTTAATGCCAATTTAACCCTCAAAAAAATATTTGAGTCAATTTTGCATAAACGTTGAACTAAATTGAAATAACATTATAGCTGGGACTAAAATAGTTATTTAAAAATTGTTAGGGGACTATTAAATTTAATCTTTAATAAAAAAAGAATTAGTAGACAAACATAATTCCCAGATTTTTTTTTTTAAATAATCATATAGAAAAAGAGTGATGTGATCAAATGAATTTACTATGCTTTTTATTAAATACTTATTTGTCCACTAAAGTCATGGTACAGCCGCAGGAAAGACAACTATTTGATCTAAATTTATTTATATAAAGTTTGGACAACTGGCGGACAACGAACAAGAAGAATGAGAGGTTCATGCTTCAATCGGTTTGACCTGTCGAACAGGGGTTGAACTGAATGACGTAATAAATAATATAAAATTAACATAATAATAATGACAATTTATTCTTAAAAATTTTATAATTCTAAGAAATTTTAGACTAAAAAATAAATAAAATTCATACATATAATATATTTACATATTTTAAAATTAAATATAATTATTATTATATTTATGTTATATATTTAAAATAAATAATTACTAGTTTTAAAGTTAAATATAAATATTTTCAATCTTCGTTTTTAATTTATATTTAATAAAAATTAGTTTATATATAAATAATTGCTTTTTATGTTATATGTTTAAGCATAATTTATATATAAAGCCACCGAAAAATTAAATATAAATATTTTTTACGGTCTTTTCTAGCAGAAAAATATTTTCGATGGTTTTCCAGTGGAATAAAGCCACCGAAAAATTAAAAAATAATTTAAATTAAGTTGCCCCACACTGGCCCGCCTTACTATTTGTTGCCCGCATGCACAAACCGCCAGCCCACACAGGCCCAGCAGTCCGCCTGACCACGTCGCTGCCTGCCTTTACTAGCCTGCAAGCCGGACCAGACAGCACAAGCCTAACCCAGCCAACCCGACTGTGCCCACTACCCCGCCAGAATCGATCCGCAAGCCTGACTGCCAGCTGCCCGCACACTTGCCCGCCCAAGCGCGCTGCCCGAAATTCAGGACCTAAGTGTGTGGAATACAAAGACTCAACCACTTTGTTTTGGAGTAAAATATGTCATATTACATACTTTTTTATATTTTAATAATACAAATACAAAAAATTTAAATTTAAAATAT